TAATGGACTAAACCTCTGAAATTGTAAGCCACCCAATTAAATGTTTCCCTTTAAGAGTTGCAATGGTCCTGGTGTCTCTTCACAGCAATAGAAACCTTAATTAAGAGAGGTGGCACATTTTTTTAAATTCCAGCACTCAGGAAGCAGAAGCAGAATCTCTGAGTTGGAGGCTAGCCTGGTCTACAGAATGAGTTCCAGGACAGCCAGACGCTCTTACACAGAGAAACCCTGGCTCAGAAAACAAAACCAACAACAAAAAGAGAGAGACTATTCACCATGTGCTAAAGGAAATGTGCTTCATGCCTTCTCTCTGGCATATCTGAATTGCTGTCAGGATTATTCTCTGATAAGGACCATTAGCTAGTGAAATGCAGGTTCCTTGAAAACAAACACCATGTAACACTGTGAAAACAAACACCATGATTCCATGATGGTTGATCTTATAACCAAGATGGCCATTAAGAAAGTAATGGGTGCCAGGCGGTGGTGGTGCACATGCCTTTAATCCCAGCACTCAGGAGGCAGAGCCAGGCAGAATCTCTGAGTCAGAGGCCAGCCTGGTCTACACAGTGAGTTCTAGGACAGCCACCAAAACTACACGGAGAAACTCTGTCTCGAAAAACCAACCAACCAACCAACCAACCAACCAACCAACCAACCAACCAACCAACCAACCAAACCAGTGGGTGATTGGAGAGATGGCTCAGTGGTTAAGAAAGAGTGCTTGTTGCTCTTGCAGAGGACCTGAGTTTAGCTCCCAGCACCCACAGTGGATGACTGACAACTTCCTATAACTCTCCTCTGGCCTCCACAGGCATGTGCACACAAATATCCATACATATAAATAAAAATAAATCTTAAAAGAGAGACCAGTGAGTAGCAAATACAACGTGGTAGATCTGGACAAAGCAGGAATCATGTCCTGGGAGGGTCAGAGCAGGGTGGCAAGAAGTCAACACACTACCCAGGCTGGTTCACAGTTTGAAAGTTCTAATTTATAAAAATTCATATTTAGCCGGGTGGTGGCGGCACACGCCTTTAATCCCAGCACTCAGGAGGCAGAGCCAGGCGGATCTCTGTGAGTTCGAGGCCAGCCTGGACTACCAAGTGAGTTCCAGGAAAGGCGCAAAGCTACACAGAGAAACCCTGTCTCAAAAAAACAAAACAAAACAAAACAAAAAAAAAATTCATATTTAATATTTTGGGCTTTGGTTGGCTGTTAATAACTGATATAATGAAAAGAGAAACCATAAAGGGGAATTACTATAATGTGATGTAAGTATCTTTTTATTTATTTTATTTTTAATTGTGTGTGTATATATGTGTGTGTATACGTGTGGGCATGCATGTAGATGTTTGTGGAGGTCAGCAGAGGATCTCAAATTCCTGGGAGTTAGAGTTATAGACATTTGTGAATTGTCCAGTCTGAACCCTGGGAATCAAGTGCAGGTCTCTGCCATAGCAGCCAGAGCTTTTAACCACTGAGCCATCTCTCCAGCCCAGAGCCCCATCTTTTAAAGGTTCACTTCAGCTACTATTTAGAAAGTGTACTCAGGCCAGAGACATGCTTACTGGGTGCAGGGACCTGCTGCAAACCCTGAGGGTTTGAGCTTGAATCCCAGGACCCATACAGTGGAAGGAGAGAACCAATTGCAAGTTGTCTGATCTCAACTGCATGCTCTCTTTCCCCTCTCCCTGCCTTTTAAAAGAAATAGAAGATACACTTAGCAACTTGAATGGGCACAGGTGACCAGTTAAGGAGCCTGTCCATCCACTGCTGTGGATACAGTCCAGATGTGAGAGGTAGGCTGGTGTGGTACAGGGAACATGAAAAAAATGGCTGCATGTCGGATGCACCTTTGAGGCTTGCTGATGGATTGGATATGGGATATTCAAGGGTGACTCAGAAGGCTTTGATATGAACAACTGATTGGGCCATCGATTCAGACAGGGATAGAGAGGGAGGGCAGGTTTATAGAGGAAAACATATGGGAGTTCTCTTTTGGTGATGTCAAATTAGGGTGCTAGATAGGTTGCCAAATGCAATTGTGAAGCTAATAGTTCAGTATATGAATTTGGAATTTCCCAGTAATACCAGAGGAGCATTTTGGTGTGTGGGCATTTTGGATCACTGGGAATTATGTGGCATATAACGTGGTGTAGGTACAGAAGCTGGGATGTGGCTGAGTTGGCAGTGTCCTCTTAACATTTAGGAAGCCCTAGGTTTGATCCTCACATCACACATAACCAGGCACGTGGTGCATAGAGGCAGGAGGGTCATAATTTCGAGGTCATTCTTGGCTGCATATTGAAGAGGTGGCCAGCCTGGGCTAATGTGAGACCCTTTATGTTCAGTACCCTTCCCCAACAAGTCTCTCTCTCTCATCTACACAATCACAAAACAGAAAAACAGAACCAAACAGTCTAATTTTTGGCATATGGATGATTGTTGGTTTTTTCCCCCCAATATGGAAAAGATAACTAATACTTTCCCTAATACAGTGGGTCTGTCATTGCAGGCTTGTCTGAGTAAGTTTCTACCATTCATTAAAAAATGCAAAGCTGGGCTGGAGGAACAACTCAGCTGTTAACAGAGTTCTACTGCTCTTTCAGAAGACCTGAGCTCAGTTCCCAGCACCCATGGGAGGGGGTGGGGCAGTCACAACCACCTCTGGCCCCAGCTCCAGGGGATCCTATGCCCTCTCTGGCTTGCTTGGGCACATGGACATACCCGCACACAGGAACATACATATATACACATGATTAAACATAAAATAAATGCACTCCTTTAATCCCAGCGCTGGGGAGGCAGAGGCAGGCAGATCCCTGGGAGTTCGAGGCCAGTCTGGTCTACTGAGCAATTTCCAGGACAGCCAGTGAGACCCTGTCTCAAAAATACCACCACTACCACCAGCACTACCTCATCACTACCAATAATAATAATAATAATAATAATAATAATAATAATAATAATAATATAAAATCATGGGGCTGGAGATGTGACACAGCAGCTAAAAGCACTTGTTGCTCTTACAGAGGATTCAAGTTCAGCTCCAACCACCCACAAGGTAGCTCATAGCCATTTCTCACTCCAGTTCTAGGGGATCTGACAGTTTCTTCTAACTTGCTAGCATACACACTGAGCACATACATACATGCGGGCAAACATACAAAATAAAATAAGTAAAGAAGAAAAGTCACGGAGGGATGGAGAACTTGAGGTCATCTGGGGGTTACATAAGGAGAGGGAAAGACAAAAGGGCAAAGGTCGTGCAGGTCTGTGGTCTCAGCCACTCTGGAGCTGAGTGGAATCCCCGGCTCAAAAACAAAGCCGCAGCAGTGACAAACGATACAAATCTTGGAGGAGTCTAACGCTGTCACTTTCATGAGGGTAAACTGAGGCTCAGACAAGTGAAATGACCCAGGCTTCTGGGTGCCACCTTCCTCGTCTCTTCCCTTGCCGAGGGAAGGGCCTTTTCTCTGAGCTGGGACGAGCTTTCCCAGGCTTGCCTGGGGCCCTGTCACTCTCCCAAGCATGGGTGTGTAATGAGGAATGTGGAATCTGAAATGGAGGAACCTGCTGTGTGTGTGTGTGTGTGTGTGTGTGTGTGGTGTGGTGGTGTGTGTGTGTGTGTGGTG